ACAAAATGATGACCGTGTCGAAGTTGAGGCTGGTCGAGAGGAAGAGGCTGCCGTGCGAGCCGGCAACTGGCTGGCTCGGCGTGAACGGCCGGCGGCGACTTTTTGCCGAAGAGCGTGCCTGCCGAAGAGCGAGTCTGACTCAAAGTGCACGGAGTGGGTGCCTCCGACCGTCGGGAAGAGTCCGATGGGTGCCAGGAGGATCCAGAGAGCGATGAAGGCGCAAATTGCGCCGCCGAAAGCGGCGGTAGAGGCCAGGACGTGCGCGTGGGCCGGTCGGGCCACGTCCCGGGGCGAGCGATCGAGGGCCGCGGGGCTCGCCCCGCCGGCCGAGCGGTGCGAACGGCCGGTCGCCCGCTTCGGGTTGGACCCGCCGGGCGGTCCGGCGGCGGATGGCACGGCCGGGCGGGCCCCGGGAGGCAGGCGGGGCCGCGACAGGCGGTAGGGCAGAAAATCCCATTCGGAGAGCGTGTGGTCCGACCCGTCTGCTTCTTTCAATGATAGGGACTCCTTACTTCAGCTGGCATGTCGGCTGTCGGGCCTCTTCGGCTCGCGGCCGCCGTGCTGCTGATCCTGAGCGATCCTGCGCTCGCACTCGCGCAGAGCACGCGTGCTCTGCGCCCCGTGGACGCCGCGACAGCGGAGTCCCACGTCGGCGCTGTCCGACACCCACTCCTCGGCTCGACGCTCCAAGAGCTGCCAGCTCGACCCGCTTCAAACATCTGCAGCGCGGTCGAGCCGGTCCAAGCTATCGTCGAGCACCCGACGGCTGCCGCCGCGGCTCCCGAGCCAGCCTCGGCTGCCGCCACGGCTTCCGCCACGGCTTCCGCCACGGCTTCCGCCACGGCTTCCGCCACGGCTTCCGCCACGGCTTCCGCCACGGCTTCCGCCACGGCTTCCGCCACGGCTTCCGCCACGGCTGCTGCCGAGGCTACCTCGTCTCGTGTCCTGTCTTTTGTGTCTGTGTCGCGTGACGAGTCTAGTGTGCCTAGCGTGTCTAGCGTGTTTTCTACCCGCTGCACAGGTCCGGCGCCGACTACCTCGACCGTCCCACCCACCTGGCACCGTGCAGAATGGCTCTGTGTCGGACCAAAGGCAGCCACAAGGCAGCCTGTCCCTCACAGTGTCCACAACGCCGGTGGGGTCCCCTCGGATGAGGGGGCGGGGGCGGCACAACCGTCTTTCACATTGCCCTCGACGACTGGCAGAGCCGGAGCCAACCGCACCGACCACAGCCCGACCAGTAGCCAGGAAACTACCCCGCTGGGCGGGGGCCTGGTTGGGTTGTGCGAGGTGCGGCCCTCTCGGAGCCACGAGTTGTACAAGTTCATCGACTCCGAGCGCATCTTCTACCCGTCCGACGACTCGCTCCTGCCGGGACCCGGGCCGACCGGTACCGAAGGCAGTCGAGCACCAGGACGAGGAGGCGCCGTTCTGGCGTCGCCCGTCCCCAACAACTCCGACATGGACATCTTCGTTGGCGGCACGCCCGCAAACGAGACCATCACCAGTCTCTTCTCGCGCGACGCCTCGTCGGCGGGCGGCCTCTGGGACCTCTCCGACCCGCTGGGACTGGTGATGGCAAAGCTCCCGGGAGATCTCTTACTCGCCGGCCCCATGGCGGCTTACACCAAAAACGGCATTTTCGCTTCCCTGTTCATTTTACACAGCGTCTCCGCCGCGCCCAAGCCTTGGTACTACGCGCTCTACGTTCCAGGGTCTGGTTGGGGCGTCTTTTCCACGTGGGACCTCTGCGCAGCGCACGGCGCCGTCGGGGGCTCGAGGGCGCGCCACAAGAAGTACCGCGACATCCAAGAGGCGCTCGCCCACATCAACGTGCACTACCCAATCCCGACCTCGACCCAGATCCTACTCGACTTCTGGTACCCGTTTGAAGGGGAGGCAACGCCAGCCCATCCCGGCGTCCTTCTCCAACCCGTCGTCCTGAGCCCCGGCACGGTCACCACCTACGCCCAGCCAGGCGACGGCAACGGCGCCGCTGCGTCGTCATCTGCTGCGTCGTCCTACCCTTGGAATGGCCGGATCCAGCCTTAAAAGTACGAGATCGCGCGCGCTTCGCGCGCTGCACCGCCTATTCTCCGGGCTGAGTGACGACGCGTGCCGTGTGCCAGCAGAGTTGGGCGCGCGCGGCGCGACGGCGCCCGCGAGGGAAGGCGCGGGTGCAGCGGCCGCCGGCGGCCGTACCGCCCGCCAGCCGGCGCAGCAGCGGCCAGCGCAGCGGCCGCCGGCGCAGCAGCCAGATCAGCCGGTGCGCGCCTTGCGAGGCGAGTACTGCCGCCCGGCAGCCTTGAGGCGGCCGGGCGGCAGTACTCGTTCGAACTTTGCGAGCCGTGCGCGCGCCGAGGCGCCCGCGGCGCGCGCCCGCCCGGCTGCCAGTAGGAGGCGGCGCAATATGGCCTATAGTACAGCCCTTGAGGAGGAGGAAGAGGCTGGCTGGCAGTGCTGTATGCCGCCGAGGGGCAGTTTTGGGGTGCTGTCACGGGCCCAGGGGGCTGCAGAAGGTGTCCGCAGCCGGGACAACCCGCCCCCCCAGCCGAGGCCGGTCGAAGCCCACTTGGGCACAGCCATGAGGAGTCCTCTTGGTGCTCCTGGCGGCCGTTGGAATGGCGAGCGCGCGCCGATGGGGGGGGGGGGGGTCTTGCTTGCTCCACACCGAGCGCCATCGGTCCAGACCGGCGTGCCCAATGAGGGGTGGCCTGCACAAGGTCTGAGCCGCGGGCGCTCGGCGCCAAGTGCAGTGTCACGCTCGCGCTCGCGCGTGACAAACCGGGGAACCCTCGTTTCCTATGTACTCGGTCCCCCAACGGAAGAGGCCTCGCTCCTATTGGAACATTCCAACATCAGATTTGCCTCGTGCGTCCCTTTTTGAGTCGGAAAGCTATTTTCTTTTGGGTCCTGTGGGCACCCTACCGGTACAAATCGACTTAGCCGAAACAGCTGACAGACAGACAGAGAGCACACAAGTTCAAACGAGGGTTGCGCCGGTCGCCGCCGCGCACCCACCCGAGCTAGATGGCCCCATAGGACGCCCTCTCCCTCTGGGCTCGGCTCTGGACGCCTCCAGGGCAGCATGGGTAGGCCGGAACCGCGCCACGGTTACGCCGAGGCCGCGCAGCAGAACCGACGGCGATCGTGGCGACGGAATCTCGACGGCGCGAGAGGCGGCCGTAAGGGCGCCGGCGGTGGCAGCGCCGGCCGTGAGGAAGGCGGCCGCGGTCCTGGCGGCTCAGCGAGCTCGGGGGAGCGGCAAGTAACAGCGACGGCGATGGCGGCGCCAACGCCGAGCGACGGCGGCGCCTAGCGCCCTCCGAACAAGTCCCACATGCTGCGAGCTGCCTGCCGGACTGCGCGGCCACCTGCGCCGCCGCCGCCTGCGCGTGCCACCCCTCCCGCCTCCTCGTCATGTGTATGTAGCTCGTGTGGGTGAACCCTGCCCAGCCCCCCTCCGTGTCGCGATGCGCTCCCCGCTCCCGTTCCCCTGTGTCCCTGATCGTCCTTACAAGATCCTGCTCGTGCAGGTGGGGACCCTGTCCTTCTCCCACCCCTCGTTTGGCGTGCCCGTTTTATTTATTTATTTATTTATTATGTAGCTCTTACGAACATACCCGAGGGTGAACTGCTGACAGGGTTTGCGATGAGAAGCGATCCGAACGTGGCATTCGGTTAGAAAGAAAGAAAGAAAGAAAACACACAACCCAAGGGAGGGATGGGAGAACGGTACTTTAGATCATTTACAAGTGCTCATACAGGGATTTTTTTATCAACGGGCGCAGAAGGCGGCAGCAAGAGGCGCGTTTAGCCGCCGCCCGCCCGCGAACGGCCCTCGCCGCCGCCGGCCTCGTCCCCGGCCTCGTCCCCGCCGGCGGATGATGTACTCAGCGCCACCGCAGTCATCTGGCTCGGATCGCAGTATCGCACGCCGAGCACCTCTTCAATCTCCAGCAAGTCTGCGTCAATGGACCCGGCAACCTTGTCGCTGGCAAGTGGTGGCAGATGACCGACATCCCGCATGCACTTGCGTCGCAAGCCTTCTCGGTGTGATCGGAATTCCAGTACCACCCGGCAGCAAATTGCCGCATCTCGGAAGGGTTGGGCGACGGCGGCGGGGAGGCCATATCGAGCGGCGAGTTCGTTGTTGTTGCCGTGCGTTCACGCGATTTTGGTACGCAACATAACTAACTTTTCAACCGCGAAGTTGCTTCGAAAACTGAGATGTGGCTTCGAGAGAGCTCACTGAGAGCTTTTACATGGTGTGCGAGCCGTTTTCTGGCTCCTATACGCGGGAAGGCTATTTTCCGACATTTCCACCCGTTTGTTGGTCACCATGACCTCACTCCTCAGCCAGAGCCCACGGTCTCCACGGAGCCAAACATGCTTTCATGCGTCTAGCCCCCCTCTCTCAACTTTTTGCTTCCCAGTCGCTCTCTTCACTCTTACGTACTACCAACTCCTCGCGCCGCTCGCGCAGCAGCGGCCGCACCGCGCCGCAGAGCCGGAACGAGCCCGCGACAAGCAGCCACGTGCCGTGGCGCCTCGCCGCCGCGAGCGCGCCCTCGAGCCCGCTGCCGACGTCGGCCGCCATCTCGACGACGGCGCCGCCTCCTCCGCCGCCGGCAGAGACCGCCTCGCGGAGGGCCTAAAAAGGGAGCCCGGGCCCGGCCATCAAACAAGACACCTTGGAGCGGGCGCGCCGCCTCGCAGAGGAATCGCCGTAGCTGCCGCCGCGTCGCCGCCGGGCCTCGGGACAGCGCCGCCGCCGCCGCCGCCGGCGGCGGTGGGGAGCACGTCGCACACCACGGCGTGCGGCGGCGCGAGCGACGCGAGAGCGGCGCCTAAGGTGAGGCGAGGCAAAGTCAACTTCTCCACACACATGGTGGGGCAAGGGCAAGGGCAGCCCTCGCGCGGCACCTAGGTGCATCCGCTGTGCCGATGAGGGGTCGTCGATAGCGGAGCGTGCGAACGCGGGCACGGCGCCGACGGCCGCGTGGTCCTTGTCATCGAGCATTCCCACGAGCAACACCGGCGGGCGCGCCGCCTCGCCGCCGCCTGCATGGTGAACACACTGCTGGACCTTTCCTGGACCTTTCCTGGACCTTTCCTAGCCTCGCCGCCGCCTGCATGGTGAACACATGGATGGGTTCGGGTACCGCGGGGGTAGGGGATGGGCGTCTGCATGGTGAACACAACCAACTCAGCGCGGGAAGACGGTATTGTGCAGAGTCTTCAGAGCACCGCGTGAACAAGAGGGGGGGCGAATACCAACACAGCTTGAATGCGGTCGAATGCAGCGGAGCACATGCACATGTCCATGTCCTCTCGGGCGCAAGTTGGAAGACATGAATGCGTCTTCCGCTTCTAGCGAGAGCGCCGCCGCGCGCGACGGTGCGGACGAGCTTCGCGGCACTGGCGGCGGTGTGCGCGGCGTCGAGGCGGACGGCCACGCCTGTGAACACCCACAAGAGCTGTGAAGAGACGCGGCCCAGACCGCTTGCGATGTGGCGCGGCGGACGGCCACGCCACACGCGGACTCGAGCGCCTCGTACCTGGTAGGAGAGGGGCGAGAGGCAAGGCAAGGTCAGCGTCTCCCCACACACGCGAGGGCGGTGGGGTAAGGGCCGGGCTAGTCCCTCGCGACTCCACGTCTAAGAGGCAGCAGCCGCACGGCATTTCGAGGTCTGAGCGAGTCTGAGCGAGTGCCGACGAGTGTGCGAGGGCCGTGTCAAGATAGAGGGAGGGAGGGGGGCAAGAGGGAGGGGGATTTGGGTATAGACACAGAGAGGTTGGGATGAGAGGGGGGTTGGGGACTCAGGAAGCGAGGGGCTGTGGGTGGCCTGAAGAAGGCATCGAGTTGGACCGGTGCAAGGACCGCGTCTCAGCAAATCTCAGGCGAGCTCGCACCGTGCGGGTAGGCGGCGCCGCGCCATCCGCACCTCCTCCTCCCCCAGCAAGTGGCGGCCGAGAAGCCACCGGCCGGTGCCAGCGGCAGAGGCGGCGGAGGCGGAGGCGGAGGCGGAGGCGGAGGCGGAGGCGGAGGCGGAGGCGGAGGCAGAGGCGGCGTCGGCGGCGGCGGTGGCGCCGCGCCTGCCTAGCTCGTCGAGCGCGAGGCGGGCGAGCTCCACCTGTTAATAGTTGATTTACTGTGCCGAATGGTAATTAACGTGAGAGCGCGACGCGGGCGAGCTCCACGTTGTCGGCGTCTCGGTCGGCCGACGGCGGCAGCTGAGTGACCGAGCCGCCGCGCCGCCGCCGCGCCTCCTCGCGCACCGCGGGCGTGAGGTGGGGAGGCACACACGCAAGCAGCGCGCCTCTCTCCGCCACGATGGCAGCCTTCTCGGCCGCGATCGCCGCGAGGGTGTCGCCGAGCACCTCGGTGCGCTCAAGAAGGAAGGAGTGAGTCCTCTGGTCAAATGGCCTCGGGGGTGTCTACTAGCACGCCTCGGTGTGCTCGAGCTCGACCGACGTCAGCAGCGCCACCTCCGCGCCCAGCACATTCGTCGAGTCGCGCCGGCCGCCGAGGCCGCACTCGACCACAGCCCAGCCCACCCGCGCCTCAGCACACGCGAGCAGCGACGCAGCGACAAAGACGTCAAACCAGCTCGCGCCGCCGCCGCCGGAGCCGCGCGCCGCCGCCGCCGCGCGCGCGTCGAGCGCGGCCTCCAGCGCGTCCGCGAGCGGCGCCTCGCCGATCGGCTGCCCATCGATCCGCACGCGCTCTGTTAGGCTCTCGACGTGCGGCGACGAGAGCACGGCGGTCCTCCAGCCGCCCCGCTCGAGCGCGCAGCCCAGCAGCGCGCACGTGCTGCCCTTGCCCTTTGAGCCAGCCACGTGCACGTGGCGGAACCGGCGCTGCGGCTCACCGAGCACGCTGAGCAGATCGGCGCACGGCTGGGCGGTGACGGCGGCCGCCATGCCGGCGCGCGAGCCGCGCTCCCAGTCCGTCAGCGCGTCGAGCCTCCGGAGCACGCGGCCGAGGCGCGACCGCGCCATCTCATGCGCGAATTCTTTCCTCCAGTATTCTCTCTCGAGGTTCTCGAGGTGGATATCCTTTGGAGAGAGAGATTTTTAGCAATACCAAATTTTGTTGTTCCTTTGGCCGCGTTGGGTATTCTCTGAAGAAGTAGCTTTCTTTGATACCAAAATGAATTTATAGCGCAGCCCATCGGCATTGACGGCGGCGACGGCGCTTCGCATGCGCCCACTGAGCCACGAATAGTGTGGCAGTCGGAGAAGGGGCAACTCCGTGCACTGACGGTCGGCCGTCAGAAACCACGCCTGCGTGGATCGCGTCACACTAATCCTCGCTACCCAACGCGGCCAAAGGATATCCTGCGCGAGCGCGGGTGGCCCCCTCCCCGCCCTTGGGCTTGGCCGCCGGGCGGACGACCGGACCGCGGCTTGGCGCGGCGAGCGAGGCCGACCACGGGGATGGGGGCCGGTGAGGATGGATAGCGTTCGTGTTGTTGGGCTCATGAACGGGAGGGCGGCACCCCCCGGTGGCGCTCCGGGCACCCCGAAGCGGGAGATGGTTTCCCGCGCCTGGTGGGGCAATCGCGTCACGCTCAGAGGGACCACGGACGCAGAGGGGAAGTGCCGTGTGGAGGCGCTGCTCGTCGAGGAGTTCGGCGCAATGAGCGCGGGGGTGGAGGAGCTGCTGAGGCGGGTGGCTGAGGTGGCGGGCCGGAAGCTCACATGCTGGCAGTACGACCAGAGGTCGTGGTCGGCGCGCGAATGGATGCCGTTTGCGCTGCAGCGACTGTCGGTGCAGCTCTGGATGGCGCTCGCGGACGAGGCACAGCGCGCCATTGGTGCGGCGTCATGCGGCCGCGAGGGACCGCGGGGGAATGCTAGTGGGATGGGGGGCTCTGAGGGGAAGGGAGCGGGGGGGCCCAGTAGGGCGCCGGCACCCCAGCGTAGAGGGCGTCGTGTAACGTGTAGCCCTCCTTTTGGTATAACAAAAAGGCAGACCGCTGTGCCATCGGCCTTCCATGATCGGTCTCAATCAATGTCCCACCCCCCCTGCGCGCGGGGCGGCCTTCTAGGCCCGCGGGTAGTCTCCCCCCATCCCCAGACCAGCGCACAGCGCCGCGCGAGCATATTCTGTGAACAAAAGCGTTGTGACAAGGAAAAGGCTGGGGCCGCCCCCGCGCGCGACCAGTATTGACCGCGCAAGATAAAAGGGTGTCCTAAGGGCTCTGCCCGCAAGGCGCCCGCGTCGCAGACGCGGTACCATTGACAAATCTGCAATATACCCCCACACGAGCAAATAGCCAAAATCCGAATACCGTGCACGAACTGGGCGATCTGCGCCGTGGACGGGGGCAAGCCTTCAGCTGGTGCCAAGACATTCGTAAAATTGAAGCCAAGAATCCGCCGTGCTTTCGCGCTACCTGAGGGGAAAGCCGCTGATCGAGCCCAGCGTGCCCGCGGCCGCCTCCCGCGCAGCACCGCCGCTGCGGAATCGGATCGATCCCATGGAGGAGGAGGGCGCAGTCGGCCAGCGCATCAGGCGGAGTCCCTCCCCGCGCCGGAGCCCCCCTGCAGTCGAGGGAGTCCTCGTTGGCGATGAAGGTGGCGACATCGAATCGCGGCCGACACACGTCACGGGAGGAATGGGCGATGAGCGGGAACGATGCGCGCTACGACGCCGACTCCGCCGTGCTCGTGGCCAAGATGCAATGGCTCGCTTGCTTCGATTCAGCTCTCTCGGCAGCAGAAGTGGGGCTGGAGCGGGTGGGGGTGGATGCCGATTGAGGGGGAGCGTCTCCAGCTGCGCCCTGTGGCAGCTGCGCCCTGTGGCAGCTAGTCGAGGGACTTGGTAGTTGTGACCCCCCTGAGTGAGGACAGGAGAGGGAGAGCGTTTTGTGGTGTTGGTGTACGCAATAACGGGACAGGGTGGTTGTTCTCTCTATCTCCTCTTCTAGCTCTTAGCATGAGCTGCGCCCGGTGTCCGACCCCTTTTGCGCAGCAACACCATAAACTTTTAGGCCCTCCAAATTCGGGTCGGAGCGTAGCGGAGTGGGCCCCGAGTTTGAAAAGGGCGACGCACGCTTGCGTCCTAGCCTCCAACAACGCCTCCCCGGCGCAGAGGGGCCCCCGGAGGGATGCACAACCGCTCCACGCCACGCCGCTTGCGGCGGTCCTCTTCCCAGCTCCGCTGAGCGCCCGTGGGTTATTTCTTCTCATAACAAGGCCGGCGCCGCCAGGCGCTCTTGCTTTGCCAGGGCTCTCACCTTGCTGGCACGGTCCGCGTGCACACCGGCCGTCATGATGGAGGTCAACCCGGTGGCCGTGTGCGCCGAATCCTGCCAGACAGGTATGTGCGTGGCAGTCTTCTTCACCGCGCTCGTCCTAGTCATCCTCGCCTTCTATGTTCCGATCCTCGGGCAGCTTGAGTCGCTCAGAGTGCCGGGCGCATAGGAGCATCGATAGCACACTGCACCGTGCGTGGCTGGTGACGCATGTGGTCTAGGCTGCGCCAGCGCTCTTTCGTTCTCCGCAGGCCGTGCATGCGGGCGCTCATCACTGCGCGTGCATGCGGGCACTCATCGCTGCGCGCGTGCGGTGTGGAGGTGCGGGCGTCGTGGAGGGCTACATGTGTGCCATGCTGTATCTTCATATCCTTCGTGTGTGATCCGCATTATGGCTAGTTCCATTTCACTCTGACACGCTAATCTTGAAAACGTCTCCAACGGAGCTCCGTGTTGCTTCCAGCGCCCTCCCCCGCGCTCCCTGCGGCCATGGCCGATGCTCCTAGTATGAGAGGTCATCTGGCTACCGCGAGAGCGACCCAACTCGTCGACATCGTCCGATGACATGGTGCCGCAAAGTCAGCCTTCCGAGGCTATCGTGGGGAGTGGGGTCGAGCCGGCAGTAGCCGTGACATGTGGTTCCACCACCCCTTGTAGGCTTTGCCTCTGACCGCCACCGTTCCCAGACTGCCTAATGGGATGGAAAGGAAGTCTCGGCGAGCGTATAGAAGCGTTCTCGACCTCGTCGTGGCAGCCTGCACGGCAGCGCTGGCAGGCGCGATGAGCGTCGTGCCACTTGACCGGAGACGGGTCGCAGGCGTCGTACCGAGCGCGTCGAGACCGAGCCCTGATGTGATCTGCACGGGTGAGTCACGTCGGCGTCAAAGGAGCGACGTGCGACCTGTCAGAGCTTGATCTCCGATCTCAGCGGCGTCGAGTCGTCTCCGGCGGCGACACTATTGTCCCTCCCCAGGACGCGCAGAGGCAACTGCGATCCAGCCGAGTGGACGGCGGCACACCGCGCAGCAGGCTCGCGCCTCGCAGCAGGCTCGCGCCTCGCAGCAGGCTCGCGCCTAGCAGCATGCTCGCCCGGATCGCCTCGTAGCAGTCGCGCCTCCTGCGGCCTCTCGCTGTCCGGCACATGTCCGCTCACAGGCGTCTCCTGTCGTCTGTCGTCTGTTGTCGCATTTCGCACACGCGCGCGCCGCGCGACCCGCGTCGCTCCGCGAGGGCATGAGCCTTCCGCGATTCGATCCCGCAGCCAAAAGCTGCTCGCTCGAACCGCGGCCGACTCCGCCATCGTGGCCGCAGCTGTTGGGCTCTCTAGAAGACTGGTGCCTGATATGCTGCCTCCCTGCGGATGCTGCCGGCGAGCCTGGCGATCCGCTGTACTACAAGGATGTGCTGACTCGATCCTACCCCGAAAACTTCTACCCCCACGACTCGGAACGCGAATGTGACAGGACCATCGGGTCCTTCAGCCACCAAAGCGAGATCACCCGAGAGCAGCTGAGTCTGCCTCTGGCCCCGCCTCCCTCTCCTCCAGGCATTCGTGGCGTCCTATGGGTCGTCCAGAGTATCGACCTCTGGCTTGTCAGCCGGTCACTTGATGACACCATGAAGTACAGCGATCGCCACCTCGCTGGCCTCTCCGCAAGGCCCCCCGACCGCGTCGAACTCATTCGGCGCGGGCTCTCTCGGCTACGGGACCGGCCCCAGCTTCGGCTGAGGGCTAACAAGCTGCCGAGCCCAAATCACTGTGAGAGTCGTGATTTCTTGTTGGTCTTCAAAAATCTCTCTCTCTCGCATTGATTGATGGGTCACTCCCCGAAACTCGTGAACTAGCCGGGGCAGTCGGAGAAGGGGCAACTCCGTGCACTGACGGTCGGCCGTCAGAAACCACACCTGCGTGGATCGCGTCACACCAATCCTCGCTACCCAACGCGGCCAAAGGATATACACCTCGAGAAATTTTCTCTAGGATGTGAGCCGGCTAGGAGCCGGCGCGGATCGCGGATGCGACTCAAGGCTCTGCCGGCGGGTCTGTGGCCTGGCGCCTGCCAGACTGCGGGTCCAAATACCCCGGCGCTCGCGCGCGCCACCGCCCCCGGCGCGGGGTGGGATATCAGTTCGTGAGTTCTGTGTCCCCGTCCCTGTGCTCCACCTTCTTCTCCCGTGTCAGTCCCTGAGAACCCCACTATATAGCGCCACCTCGTGAGTGAGCTGTCCTGTGAGCTGCGTGCTGTGTGTCCAGCAGTCCGGACCCGGTGCTAAGGCCGGTGACAGTGTGCCTCGTGTCGGCTCCCGAGCCAATCGTGTGCAGCGTGTGTGTGCGTGTGGGCCCGTCCTCCATGCTTGGAGGTGTGTAAGACTGAAGACTGACTGTGAGCCGGCTAGGAGCACTTGGACAGGGTGCCATATTTCGAGTCTGATCGCCATCAGCAGGAAGTCGAGAACAATGCAGCGTGCCCTTTGCCGAGCCACCCAGCGCTCCCGCTCGCTCTCGAGCTCCCGGCGCCACGCCTCGACGCTGCTGGTCGCCGAGCACGACGGTACCAAGCTCTCCGAGGGCACGCTCGCCGCCATCACCGCGTGCGCGCAGATGAAGCCCATTACGCTTCTCGTCGGCGGCTCTGCGGAGATGGCCGCGACGGCGGCCAAGGCGGATGGCGTGGACGCGGTGCAGTTCGTCGACAACGACGCGCTCAACCACGGCGTGGCGGAGGAGTGGGCCCCGCTGGTGGAGGGAATCGCAAAGACGGGCTTCACGCACGTCGTCGCGGGCGCCTCCTCCTTCAGCAAGGGGCTCTTCCCGCGGGTGTCGGCGCTGCTTGACGTGGCGCAGGTGTCGGACATCATCGACGTCAAGAGCGAGGACACCTTCGTTCGTCCCATCTACGCCGGCAACGCCCTCGCCACCGTCAAGTCTGAGGATGCCATCAAGGAGCCTTTGCTGCGCCCCGCTGCGCTTACTGCGCCCTGCCAGCCCCGCCCTTCCAGCCCCGCTACGCCTTGCAGCCAGCGAGCCGTACCCGCCGCCGCGCGCGCGCGTGCGTGCGGCGCCGCCGCTCGGCCGCCGCCGCTTTCGCCGCCCTCCCTCCCCTCACCCCGGGAGGACGCCCTTTCACCCCCCCTTCCCTCACGCCCCTCCCCTCACGCCCCTCTGCGCGTCCGTGCAGGTCGTGACTGTGCGCCCCACGTCCTTCGACAAGGCGGCGGCGGAGGGCGGCTCCGCCGCTGTCTCCGCCGCCGCCGTCGACTTCTCGCCGACCGGCACGACGACGTGGATCAGCGAGGAGGCTGCCTAAGCCTAGAAGCATACCTTGGTACCACGGACTCTGGTCTCCCAGCCAGCGCTCGAGAGGACACGTACTCCGCTGTATTCGGCCCCGTGTCCCGCTGTATCCCGCTGCATCGGTTGGACTCGTAGCCCGTGGATTCACACGGTGCGCTGAACGTGCGCTGCACGACACCCGTCTCCCCCCCCCCGCCCCCCCGCCCGACCCTGACGAAATTCACAACGTAGGTTGCCAAGAGCGACCGTCCAGAACTCGCCTCTGCCAAGACGGTCCAGATTCGTCGAGATTCGCCGAGATACGCCGAGATTCGCCGAGATTCGCCGTTGCCGGGCGGAGAGGCGCACCTGCACGCGGTCGGGCTGAGGGAAGACCGCTCCTCCGAACCTTCTCGGAACCCTCTCGGAACCGTCTCGGAACCGTCTCGGAACCCTCTCGGAACCGTCTCGGATCCGTCTCGGAACCGTCTCGGATCCTCCCTGCAGGTGATCTCTGGCGGCCGCGGCCTCAAGACTGGCGACAACTTTGCGATGCTCGACAGCCTCGCGCTCAAGCTGAACGCGGCGGTGGGCGCCTCGCGCGCCGCCGTCGACTCCGGCATGTGTCCGAACGACATGCAAGTCGGGCAGACGGGCAAGGAGAGACGCGCCCGCACACAGCACCCGCCACCCTCACTCACACCCCGCTGCCGGCGCCGCCCGCCCGCCCGCCCGCCCGCCCGCCCGCCCGCCCGCCCGCCCGCCCGCCGCCCCGCCGCTTGCGGCCGCGGGCCGCTGCAGGCGTGGCTCGGTGGCGCCAGCGTGGAGGCCGTGCCGCTGTAGGTTGTCGCGCCCGACTTGTACGTCGCCGTCGGCATCTCTGGCGCGATCTCATCACACGCACCTCTCTCGCTCCCTCTCCCTCCCTCCCTTCCCTCCCTCTCTTCTCTCTCACTTGTACGTCGCCGTCGGCATCTCTGGCGCGCGTTCTGCCATCAGTCCCCTGGGACTCCCCCTCCACCATCAATTGCATCGCGAGACCGCGTCTCCGCGCCATGAATTGCATCGCGAGCCCCCCTCTCCCTGAGATCGCACACGTGCAAGACGCCAGCCCATTCGGAGATTAACGCCTACGTCGGGAGGAGCGGGGCCGGCGCCGGCGGGATGGGTCAGGGGAAGCTCCAAGCAACCACACCAACCGGCCCGCCCGCCCCGAACCATTTCCCGCTTGATCTTGGCGGCTTGCCGGGACGCGTGTACCACTGACCGACCGCACTGATACGTCCAGGCGCGATCCAGCACCTCGCCGGCATGAAGGACTCAAAGACGATCG